TACGAACCATTATGTTCAAATCATCACAGACTGACATAGGAAGCTTGAAGACACCCATAATATAAGTAGGTATTGCCTGTGCAACAGCCTTAATCATCGTTTCCTTACCGGCGAGAGAGAGAGGGTGTCACCCCAAGCAATAATCCTCTTCATTAGCCTGGACTGCAGATTTTGGAATTTACCTCGCGACATGCGTCCGTCGGGTGTTGGAAGCCCTAGATACTTTTCCTCAAAGGTAAATGTACCTATGTTCAGAATTGCTCTCACCACTTCCTGTTTTTCCAGAACGCAAGAGGTACCAAACAATGTGCTACACTTTGTCGGATTAATAAATTGTCTAGTAGCTTTTGCATATGTATTTAGCACTTTATGTACCTTTTTTGCTTGGTCCTCCTCTGCCTTAAAAAACAACAGTGTGTCATCTGCAAACAGAAGGTGAGACACACCTGGAGCTCTGCGACAAACTTTCAACAGAGTGTAATCACCTTTTTTCTCACCATCTTTCAACAAAGCAGAGAGACCATCAGCCACAAACAGGAACAAAAATGGGGACAAAGGATCACCTTGCCGTAGCCCGCGCGACGGTGCGAACGATTCCAAGAGAGTTCCATTAAATTTAATTGTGTATCTCACCGAGGTGACGCAAGCCATAATCCAGTCCACCCACCGGCGAGCAAAACCCATCTTTTTCATTATTCGCTCCAAGAAGATCCAATCCACTCTGTCATATGATTTGGATAAGTCCAGCTTGTACGCACAAAAACTTTTATTAAGGTCCTTTTCCTTCTGAATAAAATGAAAACACTCAAAAGCGATTAATGCGTTATCAGTGATCATCCGTCCAGGAACAAAGGCGCTCTGCTCAGGACAAATAATATCATCCAAAATGGGTCTTAGCCGATTTACCAAGCACTTTGCCACCACCTTGTAGATGACATTGCATAAACTTATGAGACAAAACTCCGCGAGCCTTTCGGGATTATCCACCTTCGGGATGAGGACAATGGAAGTGTTGTTCACCCCCTCAGGCATGACCCCTGTATGGAAAAACTCCTTTACCCCTGCAATAACCTGCTCCCTCATTACTGTCCAATTTCGCTGGAAGAAGCGGGCTGGGAAGCCATCCGGACCTGGTGCCTTCAGCGGTCCGATCTGAAACAAAGTGTCAGCAATTTTCTTGTCCGAGAAATCTGCACACAGTCCATCGTTCATACGGTTAGTCACACGAGTTTTAATAAGATCAATTACTGGATCCGCACATAAAAAAGTGTCAGCAGCAAAAAGTTGTGAGAAATAGGTCGTGGCCATGGCCGACATGGACCCGTGGTCCTTATGCATGACCCCTTCATCATCAATAAGGGCCTTAATGCGGTTCTTACGGGCGCGCCATACCGCTTTCCGATGGAAAAACTGAGTGTTGCGATCACCTTCCCTCAGCCATGCAATACGGGACCTCTGCATCCATAACATCTCCTCTCTGTACAACAACTCATTCATCCGGTCGGTCGCCTCCCTGATATCTTTCTTGTCTGCATTCATAGACATAAGCTCCTCCAAACAAGAGCGGGATTTGTTAATTTCCTTAATAACATTACCAAAAATTTTCCAGCTCTACTCTTGCAGTTTTTTCATCATATTACCCAACCCAGAAGCAATATCACCCAGATTCAGCAAAGAACCCAACTCAGTCCAGGTGTTCATAATTACCTCAGGTAAGGATGGGTCCCTTTTCCACATGACCTCATATTGTCTGCAACTCCTTCCCGATTGCTGGCGTGGCTCCTCAACCTCACAACGGAGTAGGATGGCTAGGTGATCGGAGCTGGGCGCCACTAGGTGCTCCACCCTAGCATGAGCAAAAATGTCCCTCCATGCATTGTTGGCGACGACACGGTCAAGGCGTACCTTGACGTTCACCCTTCCGCCTCGGCGAATATCAAAAGTATACGAGAGGCCTGCAAAACCGAGATCGCCCAAACCACAAACCTCAAGGACATCTAGAAAATCAAGCATTCGACCTGTCGAACGCGGTGTGTCGGAGAAGTGCTCAAAACTCCACATCGCTTCGTTGAAATCTCCCACCACGACCCACGGCAAGCTGGCCTGTTGATGAAGATTATGGAGGAGGGACCACATGTGATGACGGTCCTTCGTCCGCGACTCGCCGTAGACACAGGTGAGCCTCCAGGGTGGCTCACCCGCCGCACCAGTTACATACGCATCAATATATCGTTCATTTATTTCTTTTACATCGAGACTCACTGACTCATGCCAATACAAAGCAAGACCATCACTACGACCCACACAATCAAAAGGTTCAAAACCTCTCAACCCTAACCTAGCACGGTACCTCTTCATATTATTTTTAGACTACCTAGTTTCACAAAGAAAAACGATACTAGGGGACTGAGCCTGCACTAGCCTCACAAGATCACGAACTGTCCGAGAGTTCCCCCCACCTCGGCAGTTCCAGCTTAAGATATTCATTGCTTCTGACGAGGCTCCGCCGGCCCCGTCAGTTCGTCGGTGGCCCCTGGGCCGACTGCCTCCATGGTGTTAGACGCCTCCCTCATCTCCTGGTCTGCCATCCCTCCGTCCAGCTGGGTCTGCTGCCCCTCTAGAGTCCCCATGGTCTTACGTTTCTTTGGTGTACCTGAAATCACACACTCAGCTGAAGTGGTCGTGGTAGCAAAAACCACCATAGTCATGTCTCCCACCTCCTCTCTTGTACCAGTAAAATGATCATTGGCAGTGGCGCGCTTTCCCAAGGTCAACACAGCCTCTGATAGCTCTGCATCAGCCATTCTTATTTCATGCAAGAGGTTACGCATAGCCGGAATCATGTCAGAGCTCCTTGGCTTTGAGCGGTTTGAAACCTGGGTGTTGGTTGAGGAGTTCTCACATGCATGTATGTTGGCTGCTGTAGCTGCATGTTGTTCCTCCGTCATACCCTTGCTGCAACCCGACATGGACTTCATTTGTTTAGCCAACAACTCATCAACAGTTGGGTTATCCGTTGCATGATCAGCAGCATACTCCTCCCCCTCACCCGCGGTTTTCATCTGGTTCCCAATCGCCAGTGTTTGCAGCCGCGGATTGAGACGCCCAGCAGCCGTGGATCCACCGTTGGAAGGCTTCGGGCGAGCAGCATCCACCGAGGGAGCCCTATGTGCGCCCCCACCGACCTTCGGGTTCACCTCGGCCACCAGCGACTCCTTGTCGGCCTCGTGTGCAGACGACGACAACATCCCGACAGGCGGCGGCGGCGGTGACGACGCGTGGGGTTCGCGATCCGACGACTTGCGTGGTTCCCTGTGCAGTCCCTCCGTAACCCTAGATGAGTTTTTGTAGGAAGAAGAAGACCTTCTTTCCTTGCGGCTGGGGTTAGGGTGTCCCTGATCCTCCTCGTGTCGTGATTCAGCAGGACTCCACCCCTCATACTCCAAGATGTATGCGGGATCGCAACGCCTTAGGAAGCCGTGCGATCGATTAGCGGACTCGGCCGCGGCTGTTCCGACGCCCAGCCAAGACTGAGACGCGGAGGAAAGGCCACATACAGCCGGCGCGGTGGTCGGGGGTGGTGGCTGCGGGGTGGTCGGCTCCATATCGCCAAGGGCGAGAAACCCTAGCGAGAGAAGACAATGTTGATGCTCATAACATTAGTTTTTACTAGCAAAAAGGCCCGTGCGTTGCAACGGGAGGAAAAAACCCTCTCATATCTCTAGCTGAGTCAGTTGGACATACTGTGTGTGGCCGGTTGGCAGGTTATGAGATCGAACCCTACCATCGGCAATTTTATTTTTTTGCCGGCTCTCCAAAGCTGGGCCACGGTGTGCCGCCAGATGAGCTTCCTTCGTTGGGCCAAAACGGGTGACAAGTAACGAAAGCAAATAGCCTATATGCAATTAATTGAAACAAGACCAAACGAAGCGGGACAAAACCAAGAATATCACCTCCCTTTAATAGTAGGTATAGATATAGATTATTATTATTATTAATGTTACTCTTGTTGGGCAAAAGAAAAAAAAACTAAGGATGTACCAAACGGACAAAGAAAGACGTATGAAAGAAATATGAGTGCGGAAAAAAAATGAAGAAACAACCATTCCTTTAATACTAGGGGTATAGATAGATTATTAATAATAATGTAACTCTTGTCATGAAGAAAGAAAAAAACCGAGGACGTACGAAACAAAAAATGAAAGATGTACGAAAGAAACCGAAGGACGAAAAAAAAGTGAAGAAACAATCCTTGTAATAAGCATAGATTTAGATATAGATAGATCATCCTATATGCGGACTGAACCGTAAAATTTCCCTTTCTCGTTCCATGCCTAAAAATCATGGAAGAATATCATCTGGAAACCAACATTTAGTCGGAACCGGTGAAAATCATGTGAAAACAATGTTTGGAAGTTTTTAAAAAAATCTTTAAAAAGTATGAGAGGTTAAGAGGGTGATTTTCTATTGCCATGCAAATCTCATGTTCAAACACATCATGGGACGTGAGCTATGAAAAATATAAAATCAACATTGAATAGTGCCAAACAATAATGTCACTATTCATTCCTGAATTTGTCTTTTCATTCATAGCTCACATACCGTAATGTATTTTTACTTGTAATTTTACGTGACAATAAAACATCAACCTCTAACATCCCCATTTTTCAGATTTTTTCAAAACGTGGTTTTCACAGAGTTTTCTTTGGATGTTTGGTTCCCAAAAATCATCAACCTGAGAGCTTACGGTGCCGGCCCATTCCAAAGACCTGAAACGGGCTCCTGGCCGTACATATCACTGGATCGACCCGGCCCGGCCCGGCCCGCACCATACCTTGTCACATCTCCCACTTCGCGTGGCAGTCGTCAAACCAAGTCTCGCACGCCATCTTGGCAAGCACTCTCTCCTCCCCCACCGCGCCGCCGAGCTCCGCCTCCGGCCGACGCAAGCAGCCCACCTCGGACGAATTCTTCTTCCCCTACCCCTCGTATCTACCGGGATGGCGTCGGGTGGAGATCCCCCATCCGGGTTCGCTGGTGAGCCATGCCCTTCCTTGCTTGGATTACCTGTTCTACTCTGCTCCGATCTCTCCTCCGCGGCGAGCGATCGAGCCCAATCTCGATTCCTGGACTAGCATCGCCGTGATTTAGTGACGGATTTGTGTGCTCTGCCGCGGAGTACCGGTCTAAGTACGCCCACCCATGCCTCGATTTGGTTCGTTTTCTTCTTAAGCGCGCGCGTGCAGGATCGAAATCTTAGTGAGGGTGTCTCGTACCCTAAATCACTAACGCTAGCAGTTTCGATTCCCACAAAATTGGAGCCTCGTTAAGTCCGCCCCTGCACGCGGAGCAATGGCCAAGTTAATTGATGATAAGGAAATAAATGCCTGGCAACTGTTTGACGATAAGGGAATGTTTCGTCCAACTGATTCTCCTACTCATATCTTCCCCTGTTGTGCTATTATTTGTTTTTGTTTTAGAGAATTCCTGTTAGGCGGTTTGTTGTATACAATTCCTGTTAGGCTGTTATTACTCTCGTGTGTGATGCGTTGTAGAAGCACGGCTAGTTTGTTGTGAATGGAACCAAAGACCAAGATGCTTGATGCCATGTTAGTTCTTTCACCCTGTATCCTCATGCTGGCAAGCAAGAAAGATGCAGGTGTACAGAAGGCTCAGTTTCATTTGACAATTTTGCCTACATCTGACTGACATTGTTGATGTAGGTTGGAGTTTGTTTATTTAACTGCCTGCCATCTGGTGTAGTTGGTACAGATGAAACATTGCGTTCTCGTAAATAAATCTCAGAACTATGCAGAATTCATAACAGTGCTTCTGCTCAACTTCTTTACTATGTCATGTACGCTTCTGTTCTGAACCACTTCTTTTGCAGATGAGAGCAAAAGTAAAAAAACAGAAGGATCATCCAACGAAGGTCAAGGGGTTCCTCCAGCTGCTGCTGCAGGCTTGTCGGGTCCTTTCGATTTTTCTTCTATGCAAAGTTTGCTCAATGTACGCCCCCAACCCCACTCACTCACCCTAACACAATCATAATAAGTCTTGTACATGCTGACTATCCTATTGATTTTCATCATTTAAATATGCACTTGCTGGGTATTATTAATGTTCTTTTTTGATTTTACATAATTCTGCCTGTGGCAGATCCATTGATACTTGCACCTTTAACTTTTCAATTGAGAAATATTTTTGACTTCAACTAAATGAATTCTGGTTTCTAGGATCCGTCTATAAAGGAGATGGCGGATCAGATTGCAAGGGACCCTGCATTCAATCAGATGGCTGAGCAGCTACAGAAAGGTGCTCAGACTGCAGGAGAACAGGGCATGCCTCCATTGGATCCTCATCAATACATGGAAACAATGCATAGGGTCATGGAAAACCCTCAGTTTATGACAATGGCAGAGCGCCTCGGGACTGCTCTTATGCAGGTACCATCTACTTTGCCCAAAGGACTCCCCTGGATTTTGTTTTCTGCTGTTTATTTTGCTGGCAATGACCTAATTGTCTTACCAACTTAATTGGCTTAGGATCCTGCTATGTCCAGTATGCTGGAAAATTTGACTAGTCCATCACATAAGGAGGAGCTTGAAGAGCGCATGTCTCGGATTAAGGACGATCCAGCCTTGAAGCCAATTCTTGATGAGTTAGAGAATGGTGGTCCTGCTGCAATGATAAAGTAGGGTATATTTTCTAGTGATATATCATATTAGACTGTATACAACTTGCTTGATGTGCTTTTCATTTGCTCATGTAGGTACTGGAATGACCCTGAAACTCTTCAAAAGATTGGCCAGGCAATGGGAACTACGATGCCATTTAGCACTGTCTCTACTGCTGAACCTTCTGGTACTGAAGAAACTGAAGAAGAAGGTGAAGATGAAGACGAGTCCATTGTCCACCACACTGCCAGTGTTGGTGACGGTGAGGTAATGGCGCTAACAGTAGAACTGCGGATTTGAATTTCCATTCTGTTTTGAGCTGATATATAATTGCATATGTTTATATGCCGTGTTGGTGTTACACTATAATTTGCTTAGTCAGTGTCCATTTTGACCATAGTTACTACAGGTTTTACGGTATTGTTTGGGTGGTAGTAATGGAAACAATTTTGCTTTATGACATTGTGCCTGCTTTTCAATACATGACCCAGCCTTATGTTGGTATTTGGAGAAATGACAGACTCTTGGCATGTAGGTTATGCTCAAGAAATTTGCCAGCTTGCAATCTGTGTGCCCTCCATTGCATCTGCCCCGCAGAATCGTTTACTATTCTTGCTACACAGTTCGGCTTTTTGGCCTCTTATGTGGAGCCTGCAATGGTGTGCCCAGTGTTCATGCTTCACATGATCACGAACATAATGTAATTTTAGTAAGATGTATGCAAGGGTCAACTAGAGCAGCTTCATTTACAGTCTTCGTGATGTCCGTTTTCCAAAACAACTTCTCTAGATTTTCAAATATAGCTGCACTGTTATTTCTATTGGATTTGTTATTGCATTGCCGCCTTTATTTACAAAATAAGTCATCCAACAGGGTCTGAAGAAGGCTCTAGATGGTGGAGCAGACAAGGATGAAGAAGACTCTGAGGGAAGAAGGGCCTTGCACTTTGCATGTGGATATGGTGAGGTATGAAGATCTGCTCATTGCTCAACTCTCTTAGCCTATAACAGTAATCCAGTAATTGAACTTGTGATTGACATACTGTTTTTTCTACTTCATTACTACAACAAATGATTAGGCAAGCTAAGAAAAAACATACTATATATTGAGTTGCCGTCCATGGGAGGTTCATGGTAGTTACTCTTTGAGAAGTGCAAATATCTTGTTGTGACCAGTGACCCTAATACTAGTGGAAGCTTTCTAGTTATTGTTCAATAAACAGCTAGACTTGAAATAGTGAGCTTTTTTTGCAGGAGAATAATGAGCCTGTCTAGGGACTGCAGACTTCTGATTTTTAGATCAAGTTATTTTAGCAACCTTTAGACTAGTTATTTTCACAGATTATATGAATTTTATTTTATTTTCTTCTTCTGCTTTGAAGCATATTCCATGGTTTTATTTGATAGAACGGAGAGCTTTATGCTTATTTGTCAGAAGAAAATTAGTTTTGGGCGAGTTGATTCATGAGTAGCCAGTGCCTAGCGACCTCTATAAGTGGTCAAGCTATAGTAATTACTTCTGTGATTTATATTTGTGAGCCATCATCATTAACTTGCCAGGAGCTGGTAATGACCAGTTGGCCAAGGGCCGCCTACTTAGAAATATAACTGGTATATCTGGTACCACTGTATCAAGATTGTAAATCTCCATCTCCAACTGTTTAAATTCTCCCAGTTGATGGTCTTTAGGAAGCCACTTCAAAAACTACACTTGTGAAGGTTATATTCAATGCTGGAAGCCTGGAACACAAAATCAATGAATTGCATTGCCATCATCTGCTGTTGTTTGTAGTCTATGCTACAATTGTGGAATCTAGATTGTGAGTTGGGTCAAATGCCATTAGTAACTGTATGGCCTCCTTGTATATTTGATGTCTGTTAGGTAGTTTAATAATTCAGTGACAAGGAATTGTATGAATTTTGCGTTTCAGTTCAAGTGTGCGGAAATCCTCCTTGAGGCGGGCGCTGCTGTAGATGCCATGGATAAGAACAAGAACACCCCACTGCATTACGCTGCTGGCTATGGCCGGAAAGAGTGTGTGGATCTTCTGTTGAAGCACGGCGCTGCTGTGTAAGTTAAATCCACTCTCCCCTGCCCTTCACAAGGTCTGATCCCTTGATGCTTATTTGACCATCTCCAATGTTCCGCAGCACTCTCCAAAACATGGATGGGAAGACGCCCATCGACGTCGCCAAGCTGAACAACCAGGACGAGGTCCTCAAGCTGCTCGAGAAGGACGTGTTCCTGTAAATCACTTCACTTGGCCCCCATGAAGAGACATGGACGTCATCATGCTTTACATTCCTTGGCATTGGTTTTATATAGTCATACTTGAATCGGCATTTTATTCGTTGTGTAAGAATCTACTACCTGTGGTAGCTAGCCTGCAGGCCGACTGGCTGAGGTTAGAACTGCATGTTACTGTATATGGCGACTTGTGTATCGTCCGCTTTGTTTCTGTTGATTTCACTAGAGTAATCCAAGACTGTAAGATTATTTTTTGTGTTGCGCAGAGTTTGAAGATGGTATGCGTGCCGTTTACTGGAAAGATAAACTGCGATTTGAAACCCTGAATCTACCCAGTCAAATCCATGGCAATAAAATGGATACTGGATGCAATCTCTTCCACCCCATGAAAAAGCCGTTTGAACCTTGGGGATCGGGTTTTTGGTGTAGCATTACAGGGAGAAATTGCATTCACCTCCCAACAGAACTGCTCTAGTGTCGTCGGCTCCCCTGTCTCCACGACGGTGTGTTAAAAAGTGCCTCGATCATTGCTAATCTAATCGTGCATTTGAGCCATGCCTGGTTATGTTGATATAAATAGATTAGCAAGAGATTAATTGTGTGAATAACCAGCAACACTATGAGACGAGCTGACGTTGCGCTGGTGGGAAAGGAACCCATGCTGCGCATTCAATTTCCTCTAGATCTGTGCAAAATGTTAGGTTAGTGTGAATGCTAGGGAACCGTTCTCCCTTGCAAGTTGCAACTGAGTCCAAAAGTCTTTCTCTAATTTCTGAATTGTCTGGCTTCACTGTTGAACATTAGGAACCTGCCCCTATTATTGAAGTTATCGAGTGTACTACAACTTCTGTATTTTACTTGATGACTGTTGACCTCATGACAGGTTCCAAGTCAGGCACCCTTATTTAAAATGTGAGCTTATGCAGTCCTGGATGTGAGCTGTATGTGCTTACTCGATGTACTTGCTTTGCTAGACCAGGCAACAGCCATTCTGAGCTCTGAGCTCTTCTGCACAAGATTTTACGAGTCCCAGAAAACAAATTCAAGAAATACTAGCATACGAGAGGAATGGAAGCCACTGTGGTGAGTGTCGCGAAGTCCGTGCTGAATGGAGCACTCGGAAGGGCCAGATCTGCCGCTGCGGATGAGGTTTCTCTGCGGGTTGGCGTCCAGCGCGATCTGGCTTTCATCAACGATGAGTTTGAGATGATGCAGACCTTCCTGATGGCTGCCGACGAAGACCGGGCCCAGAAGAAGTTGGTTAAAACCTGGGTGAAGCAGGTCCGCGATCTAGGCTACGATGCTGAGGATTGCCTCCAAGATTTCGGTGTTCATCTGCAGAAAACTTCTCGGTGGTGCTTCCTCCGCACGCTGCTAGCACGGCGCCGCATTTCCAAGGATATCAAGGTGCTCAAGTCCAGGGTGGAGGATGTGAGCCAGAGAAACTTGCGGTACCGCCTCATTGAGGATTCTACCTCCAAGCCTGCCACCGACACCGAGCGATCTACTAACATCAGCAGGGAAGCAATATTTTGCAGTGATGGTCCAAGGATCACCGTAGTAAAGACGGACGAGCCAAAAGTGGATCTTCGCCGACTGATCACCAGCACAGATGACCAAGCTCTTAGGGTGATCTCGGTCTGGGGCGAATCAGGCGATGATCTGAAGAAACTGTCTGTCATCAGGGAAGTCTATGACAATCAAGAGATCCGCACAAAGTTTGGATGCCGTGCCTGGTTTAAGTTGATGGATCCCTTCAATCCAAACGATTTCCTCCAGTGCTTGCTCAGGCAGTTTTACTGGGCGTCTCTTCAAGAAAATGGGAAGACCCAACAAGGGGCAGCTACAGGGGTTGGTGTTCTGAAGAAGATGGAGATGGTTGCAGCAGATGGCCATCTGATTGACGAGTTTGATCGATATGTGAATGAGAATAGGTACCTGATTGTTATTGATGGCCTGTCTACCATAGTGGAATGGGATTGGATAAAGACATGCTTCCCTGACAAGAAGAACGGAAGCCGAATTATAGTATCCATGGAGCAAGTAGAAATTGCAAGGCTATGTACAGGGCACTCGGCCCAAGTAGCCAAGCTGGAGTTATTGTGATCACGCCAGCGTGCTGTATCTCTTCTATGACAAGGTAATATTACTATAGTTCTGATACAACCACTCATGAAACAAGAAACATGTTATATATTGCTAACTGAAAGTATTTCCATTCCTTTTATTAAATTGGGTAAATATAATTTGTCTCCTTATGGTTTACAAGCATTGCATGAGGAGACTGTCCTGATGTCCTGGTAATTAATGTATCCTGCTCTTCCTAAAAGGAATTTTAAATCTTGATATATGATTAAACTTGTAATCTCCATCGAAAATTTTCTACTTCCGTGTGAATATGCCTTTTAACTTAAAGTCCTTTGGTTAGCCCTCTTTTCATTTCTTTTAGTGACAATGACAGCCGATTTGGTCGCAAAATTATTAACACCTTTCTTATTGTACTCCAGCCCGAGTCTAGTTCAAACAATGTCACCAGTGCCGATAGCATCCAGGTGGTAGTCACCGACCACATAGTGGAGGAGGATCAACCTGTAAGCATGTGCGGGACCAGTTCGCATGACCTCTTCCCTGAGAAGGACTCCAACACAGCTACTGGAAAGAGCCTTACTCGCAACTGGACAATGAAGGCGGCTTTGGAGCAACATCAACTAGTCGGGCGAGAGGGAGCAATGTCTGAAGTCATTAAACTAATTCGTGAAGAGGGTGATCGTTTACATGTTATCTCCGTGTGGGGAATGGGTGGCATGGGGAAAACCACCCTTGTTAGAAGTGTCTACGGAAGCGAAGAGCTTAGTGGCATGTTTCAGAAGAGAGCTTGGGTTACCATATTGCATCCTTTCAACCGTGAGCAGTTCTTTAGGAGCTTAGCCATGCAATTACACTCAGATGATACCGGAAAGGACGTTAGCTTGATGGGAGATGGCACTGAAAAAAGGTTGCAAGTGATGGAAATTGCGGATTTGATAAAAGAGACATTCCGGCTTTTAGACAGGCTAACGTACCTCATTGTTCTCGATGACCTGTCGTCCAACACAGAATGGGATTCAATAATACCGCATTTCCCTAAGGATGAGATGACCAGTCGGATCATAATCACCACAAGGGAAGCAAGTGTTGCTAGCCGTTGTTCCAAGAAATACAAGCTGAGATCTCTAGGGGATGATGCCGCACTAGACCTCTTCAAAAAGAAGGTATGAATGGGCACAATTTTTTTTCTGGAAAGATGCATGGGTACAAATGAGATCCCTGCTTCTTCCTTTTGGTTTGAAGTTTATGTTCCGGCATCATGGCAAAAACTGCACTCCTCAGCCATGTTATCACAGGTTAGATGTAACTTCAAATGTGATAACAATGAAACATAACAATAGCAAAACTTACCACCATGATGTACCACTAGAAAAAATACCAAGGAAAACTAGGGATATAGGCATAGCACATGTAAAATTATTTACATTTCAGAATGTAAACACCAAATTTGTCTGTGATATCAGAAACTAGAAAATGTCAACTAGTATGTACTGAGCATGTTAAAAGTGCATGATGGGCTAGTGATCTTTGTTGGGGATGGATAGAAACAATGGGATGGACCAATTCATCGACATGGCAAATACGCGCATCCCAACTCGCCTCGCCTTGTAGTGAACTTTGAGGATAGTTTCAACCAACAGGAAGCACCGGAATAAACAAAACATGATTTAAGTGGAAAACCTCCTCAACATTTTTTTTTTTTTTGAAAAAGGAGGATAACCTCCGTCCTCTGCATCAGAATGATGCATGCAGCCATATTATTAAACAAAGTGCGGAACAAAGTCTGAGGTTCAAATCTGGCTCACAAACTGAGCTTAACAAAACAGGAAAATAAAAGATGCCACAGCCGGCGAAGATAGCAACAGGCTACAATGCCTATACACCTAGCCTATTATTAGCTCGCCATCCAAATCGGTTGAAGTGAAGATAACCCGTGCTACCGTCTCCCACTGGTTGCACCCAGTAACCAAAAGCTCCCTGGAGTCCGCATGAGTGAGTAACGACCACGTACGGATCCAAGCAGTGGCTCTGTAAATAACCTACAAAAAGTTGATAAAGTTTTTCTGGTTAAAGATCATATCATTTATGTTGTTCCATATAGCCCAAAGTAGTGCACATATCCCTATCCGAATATGTCTCGTCATATTTGGTTCCACTCCATCTAGCCACGTTCCAAATAACATGTTAATGCAAGTTGGAGGGCTAACGTTGAAGGCTATATGTATTGTGTGCTATAGTAGTTTGCCAACGGGCACTCGAGAAAGAGGTGTTGTATAGTTTCATCCTGGTCACAAAAACAACATCTGGAGCTACCTACCCACCTTCGTTTTACCAGGTTATCTTTCGTCAAAATAACTCCCTTGTGGACAAACCACATGAAGATTTTAATTCTAAGCAGAACTTTAATCTTCCAGATATGAAGGGATCCCGAAATTGGCCCAGAGTCAATTAAATCCAAATACATTGATTTCACTGAAAAACTACCAGTCGTAGATAATTTCCAGTGTATGGTGTTTGTCTGGTCAGAGAGTTGAACCTCCATCAACCTGCGGACCAGATGAAGCCACGAGTTCCAACGTTCCCCCACCAGAGACCTCCTGAATTGGATATTAAGGGGGACCGACTGTATTACTGTAGCAACATAATCTTCCTTATGTTGTACAATATTATATAGAGTGGGATATTGTAAAGCCAGGGGCGTCTCCTCTAACCATGCATCTTCCCAGAATCTAGTCGTATTACCGTTACCAACGATGAATTTTACCCTCATCCTTATCAACCCTTTCCAGAACGACGAGTCATTGGGCCTTACAGTTACCTGGGCCAAAGTCTTAGATTGGAGATACTTATTCTGCAGAATTTGAATCCATGTACCCTCAGTCTCGGTAGATAATCTGAATAACCATTTAGAGAGAAGGCATTTATTCCTAACTTCTAAGTTCTCTATCCCTAACAACGGCGCGTCATGATTAAAGCTCATTGTCGCCTTTGTGCCTCCATCTTACTGGAGCAACCTTGTTGAAACCCAGGAGTTTGGAGAAGCAGCGACTAGGAAGTCATCGATACAGGCCATGGGACGCTGGCGACCACGATCCGGATAGATCGTCGTCGCGGGAAGCTAGCACTGAGGAGGGATAGAAGATAATCCCAACTCTGGAAAGAAGGAGGAGGGGACAAAAACCTCGCAAGTTCTACAACGGAGCCTTATCTGGCTAAGCTTCATCAGACAGAGATGGAGATGGAGCTGGAGAACAAAAACACGCCGCAATGCCATCCCCTCTGCAGGCCACCACCAACGTAGACAAACTCTAATTATGCCAGGTCGAATGCCCGACGATCGACACCATCCTCCGACTCGTTGACGCCACTCCGAGGAAAGACATCGACATGGGGAAAGCCAAGGAATCATTATTCTCATCGCCGCCGCCACCCCAACTTCATCAGCGACGAAGAACTTGAAGACCCTACAGGACATGGACTGGACACATAGATCTGTGGTCCGCCCACCCTCCTGCCGCGGGGAACCCGCTGGCGGGAGGAGGGCAGTGGCATGGGGAACACGCTGGCGGGTCGAGGGGAAGTGCTAGACACCTCCTTTTCACCAAACCCTAGAAAAACCAACGGCATACGAGCCCTTGCATATTGTATAGAATTATAAATAGTTAGATCAGATACAAAAAACATGTTAGATTTGTCACAAATACTTTCATCATGTTATTATTATTTTGCCTTGTGACCATGAGGTCACGGGTTCAAGTCCTGGAAACAGCCTCTTACAGAAATGTAGGGAAAGGCTGCGTACAATAGACCCAAAGTGGTCGGACCCTTCCCCAGACCCTGCGCAAGCGGGAGCTACATGCACTGGGGCTGCCCCTTTTGAAGGGGAGCCTTGACGCAGTGGTAAAGCTGTTGCCTTGTGACCATGAGGTCATGGGTTCAAGTCCTGGAAACAGCCTCTTACAGAAATGTAGGGAAAGGCTGCGTACTATAGACCCAAAGTGGTCGGACCCTTCCCTGGACCCTGCGCAAGCGGGAGCTACATGCACCAGGTTGCCCTTTTTTTTTAACTATGTTACAATAGAAATAGTCAAAGTCCACATGTTTTGTGAAACCAGAACCTGGAGGGAATAAGATGCTAATTTGAATTTCCTAGAATAAGAAATAACTGAAGGTTCTCCTTGAGCTCTTTCTACATGTACTTTGTCTCCATGCACTTTGATCATGTTTTTTTCATCTGAATAAAACCAACATCGCCTCAGTTAAAAAAATGATGTATTGCGGCTACAGTTTGTAGTAATTCATGCTAATCTTTGATTTATTGTTTATATTTAATTGACCATATGTGGCTTGAATAACTCTTAGACTTTTTGTGATTAAAGAATTTAACAGATGCAAAGAGCCTACAGCCTAGAACTGTATACAGTTCCCGTGCATCAAGTACTCACTTTCTTGAATCATGTTTCAGGTGTTTAGTGGTACTGAAATGGTTGATTTAACCGGTACCATGAGGGATCAGGCAGAACTTATTCTTAAAAAGTGTGATGGGCTTCCCCTTGCCATTGCCACTATAGGTGGCTTTCTAGCAACCAAACCCAAAACAAGTTTGGAATGGAGGAAACTGAATGATCATATCAGTGTGGAGTTGGAGAACAATCCAGAACTTGAAATGATAAAGACAGTCCTTATGTCAAGTTATGATGGTTTACCATATCATCTCAAGTCTTGCCTTCTGTATTTCTCAATTTTTCCGGAAGACAAAAACGTTAGACATGGACGGCTAATAAGGCGGTGGATTGCTGAGGGTTACTCAAAGGAAATGAGAACCAAAACTGCCGAGGAAGTAGCCGAGGAATACTTTACTGATATTATTAACAGGAGCATGGTGCAACAACTGAAAACTAGAGCTCCTTACACTGGGAAAATTACTGATTCCTGCCAAGTTCATGATCTAATGCGTGAAATATGTATCTCAAAGTCAGACGAGGAGAACCTTGTTTTTGTACTGGATGAGCATTGCACCTTGCAACCTACAGATAAAATACGGCACCTTGTTGTGCGCGGTAGTTGGAGCAGAGACCAAAAGAAGAAAGTGTTGGGAAGTGTATTGGACGTGTCCCACATTCGATCCCTGACTGTATTTGGAGAGTGGAAATCTTTTTTCATTTCTAAGAAAATGAGATTGCTTCGGGTGCTTGACTTAGAAGACACCGAAAATCTGCGGGATCACGACCTTGCGCCAATTGGGAAGCTTCACCACCTGAAGTACCTATCTTTAAGAGGTTGCTTATATATATACCATCTCCCAGATTCATTTGGTAATCTGTCAGAGCTGGAGACACTGGATATAAGAAGTACATTTGTGGTCACATTGCCAGCAAGCATCACAAAGCTCTCAAAGTTAAAATACTTCCGTGCCGGTCTCGTACCTACAGATGATGTGCTTCCCAGCAGTTATGTCAGAGAAATTGATCAGCCCTTGAAGGAGTTTGGCTTAGCAGCTTACAAGAGCTACGTACAGAAAAAATCCATTCATGACTTGGATGCAGTACCATATCTCTTCTTTCAGGCCCGTATCTGGTTGCGAGGGTGGGATGAGCATGGCATGAAAGTGCCCAGAGGGATTGGGAGAATGAAGGCCCTGCACACACTGGGTGTTGTCAACATTGCACGGGCGAGGGCCATGCCAAAGGAGCTGAAGAAGCTTACTTGGTTGCGTAAGCTTGGAGTGACTGGCATCAACAAGAAAAACTGCAAGGAGCTCTGCTCTGCTATCGTCAATCATGGCCGCTTGCTGTCCTTGTCGATGCGCGCCGAGGGTGAGCCTGGCTTAGAAGGATGTCTGGATGACTTGTCCCCTCCTCCAGATAGCCTCCAAAGCCTTAAGTTGTATGGCTATCTGGTCAAATTGCCTACATGGATCGAACAGCTTCAGATGCTAACCAAGTTAACTCTACGGAGTACCCAACTGGAGTATCATGCCATATTAGTACTTGCGAAGCTCCCAAATCTTGCCATTCTGCGTCTTTGTGATGGTTCGTTTAGGTGGGCTGAACTCAACTTCCATTTCTGCCCTGAGAGCTTTAAAAGTCTGACGGCATTGGAGCTTGAATTTCTACCTGGCCTCAACTCGGTTGAGTTTGAACAAAATGCAATGCCTAATCTTGAGCTGATACGGGTACTCCATTGTTTTTATGGAGGTGCCGATGGGTTTTCCGGGATACAATTTCTGTCAGGTCTCAAGGAAGTTTCACTCAAGGGTCACAAGGGCGACTTCAATGAAAAATTCAAGAAAGACTTGCGGGAACAACTGTCCAAGAATTCTAACAAGCCAAATCTGAAGATGGAGGACATGGCGAAATGGCTCTCGGCTGCACCTGCTCCCGCTCTTATCTTGAACAGTAAATTCGAAACAAACAATTAGAATTGTCAAAAAGGATCCCCAAAACATACATATTAATGCTTGAATCATGTATATTTTCCGACTTTTCATGGGAAAAAAAATCATTTTTTGCGCCATCTGCACACAAAAAAGAAACAATTCAGTGCGGACAATTTTATTGTTAATTACTCATAATGTCTTGTTGAAGGCTTATGCCATTACTTCATTACTTGGGTCTGTCTGCCTGCTCTTTACTCGATGGCATTTGATGACTTTTGGTTGCTTTAGACATTTTGCAAACATTGAAGTGCACCAGGTCCAACATCTGAGAGGAGGTAAACTTTTGAAAACAACCCTATGCTGCTTTTTAGGATGCAATCTGAAAATTTATTTACGTGAACACCTTTCAAAAGATTCTTCTTCACTAGCATTTTCATTCCCTTGTCGCTCATGTGCCCAGGTCTCATGCGTCACATAGCAAAAGGATCATCTCTCTTCAATGTATTGATAAACACGAGAGAGCTTATCTTGAACATTGATACATTTTACCTTTTGCAACAACCATGTTGCCTGTGATCAAGTACCCATCTCCGTCAAGCAATCCAACTAAAATCATGTTGATATGCAGTGCCTCAACTAACCTGGGATACTTGAGTGATGGTTTCTTTATCATTGTTTCTTATCTCCACAACACCCAAAATCACTAGTTGTATAGTCTATGAAGAGCTCTCTGCGAGATGTAGCAGATGGTATCACCGCTGCCTCGTATCCATATCATTGCTTCACCATCCACAAGGTGATTCTCTCCCCAACAGTGGAACCAAATATGTCCTCATTTTCTTTCATGCATAACGAACATGATCTCCTCAATTGCACTATTAGTCCGGTTTCCCTCACTATCACTGTCGTGATCTTGTTTCTAAGCACTTCCTTTTTGTCTTTATTCCACTTGTGGAATTGCCACTTGATGTAGCATGTCTCATGGCAGTGATAGACCGATAGCATACATAATCAACATACTTGCCTATTTATTTGCTTCTACTTTTAGATGCACTTTTTTTAATCTTTGCACTTGCTTCTTCCAGGTGACTCGGTCACCAACATTCTAAATTTTAGGAAGAGCTTCTTTTAGAAATCTTTCTATACTCTCCATTTAGTACCTTGGTCTTCTGAAGCAACACAAGGTTGTGGAGGAACAACTCAACATTTTTACTACAAAGTGTACATCACTAGTGTTGAAGGAACTACTTCAATGTGTTGTGCTAGATATCGCCCTAGAGGAAAAATAGGCTGATATGGCAGTCCAAAACTTCTAGAGCACAAGATATAGTTCAAGGTCTTAGATAAGAACTCCAAGTTTTATGCTATAGTGGGTACATATATAGGCTGGTTACAAACTAGATTTATAGTGCCTTGGGAAGCCTTCGCATATCAAATTTTACTTATAGCTAGAACACTCTATCTAGAAAAGAAGTACTTAAGAATCAACGTTCTAATCATAGCTAGAAAACAATAGCTAGGGTTAAGAAAAGAAAAGAAATACTAGACGAGACTAGAAGTATCAAGAAGTAGTCAAATATATTTGACTTCTATTTTTTTCTTCTTCTCTTACTTCTCTCTATTGTTTCTCATCATTCTCCCAGGTTGTGTGGAACTCAACCTTGAGTTATCTTTATAGAGTTTGTTCTGGGTGGTAAAGAGTCATGTCCGCAACGTTGAATGTGTTGGATATACCCATCTCACCGGGAAGATCTATCACATAAGCATTTTCATTTATCTTCCTCAGAATAGAGAATGGCCCATACCTTTGCCACATAAGCTTCCCTTTAAGACCTGAAGGTATTCTTTCTTTTTAGAGGTAGACTACCACCTTATCACCAATTTGGAATGATTTCACCATCCTTTTGCAGTCAACAAGTTGTTTATATTTCTGATTTTGTGCTTCCAAAACATTGCTAGTTTCTTCAAATAATTCAGTGTAGTTATCAGCAAAGAACAATGTTGATTTTGAGTTTCCGCTTAATGGTAGCTTAACCAAGTCCACCACATGTGTTGGAAATTTAGTGTAAAAAATAGAAAAATACTCCTTCATTTGGATCTATGCTTGGAGTTGTCGTAGGACAACTCGACAAGAGATAAAGCCAAATCACATTGTCCCTTTCTTTCTTGACAAACCCAATGCATCAGATTACCCAAAAAAGTGTTCATCACTTCCATTTGACCGCCATGGATGTGCAATAATGCTAGATTTTTTTTAATGTTTTATAGAATTACTTCCACAAATTGGGCCAAAATGCAGCAACAAACTTGCTATCACGGTTTGAGACGATGGACCATGGAACCCCATCAAGTCTAGTCACTTCTAGAAAGAATATATTTGCCACATGACGAGAATCCTTTGTCTTCGACATCGAACAAAATGAGCCACTTTAGAGAATCCGTTCATAGCCACAGACACAACGCCAATCCCTCATCTTGTTCTTGGCAAACTGGTGCTTGCAAGCCAAACAGGGTTATGTAGCACTTTCGTGGAAGTATCCCAATTAGTTATCGTCCCAATGAAGAGCAGGGAAGAGTATTTATATTGGCATTTATGTTACACACAAGGTGTCATATTTCTCATGTGAAGTAACTGCTTGAGCTTCTACAAATATTGTTACTGTCCTGGTGGACGAATAAACCAGAATGACTAAGGTAGAAGATTTATAGTAATGAAGGTAAAAGCTCTTAAAAGTAAATAACATAAATAAAAGTTGGAGTTGAGTTTCCTACAATGAAGAAGTTAGGCGCGAAGAGAATTCAGTTCATGGTAAGAATGTATCAAGTGTGCTAGCGCGACAGTAATACTAGTTACCTTGTATCATACTCATAAATATTTGATATGTGTGTTCCATAGGCAGACCACCCTAAAGTGATGAAACTCCTCTCAGGATTATATTTCATTCTATGGTCCTGCTTAGTCGTTGCCACAGAGTGGTCATCTCCACAATTAAGGTCCTTAGACCGGAACAAAGCATCAAGTTTCGTGGATCATCGTTATCTTATATTGTCTTCGGTTCTCATAGATATCTCCACCTGTCATGTCAGAGGTCACGAATTCCCTAAACAATATGTGTTACCTATGTAGGTCTCGAGATTATGTTGTCCACGCCCTTAAATTGGACAACATGCATAGGGTTCACCACAACATAACAACATACTAGACAGATCATACTACTATGAATACAAATGACGACATATAGATTAGGCACAGATGAATCTTACCACTCACCCACATCTCCCATGCCTATGGAGGATTACTCACACATCATAAGAGAGAAACCAATCACACCAGAGATTATACCCACGAAAACCATATCGTTAATACTGTGAAGATCCACAATAAGATGAAATGGGTAATTCAAATAGTCTTGTTCTCAATATGAGATTGAATAGAGTTACAATGGTTCTCACAACTTGGAATTCCTCTTACAGTAATGGAGGGGGAGATGATGATGAAGATGAAAGCTAAGATCTCCGAAGGTTCTTCAAATCTCCTATTCTTCTGTTCTAGCTATGTTGGCAGCGGCTAGGGTCTCTTCTCTCGTGGGTCCCTTCATGAAAGTGTCTTATATAGACGTGGTGGAGTTGTTATAACCTCATACGACCGCTCATACGAGAGCTTGCAGTCGTATGGAAGGTCGCCTTTTTCTCTGGTGCGCCTGGTGGCTTGGCTCTCCACATGGAAGTTGCTCCATTTGACTTGATTTGCAGTAATCCTCCTTGGTTTCCTTCCATATATGATATTTCCTGCCAGACAATGGAAAATCATATTTTCTTCTCTTTCAAAGGATTAGCGTCAGAAATAACCAAGAGGTAATAAAGGTGAGAACCAAATAAGAATCACTCGAAAAGCATTACAAATTCTCGAGCCATCACAAACCAAAGACGAAGTCCATAGAGATATCCTCAGATGGTGCAACAAGAACATGCAAAGGCATGTATGTGTTATGGACCTGGTCATTGCAAGTTTGACATAGGGGGTACTACTGAACAAACTTCTCAACATCTCTCTCTTTAGTTGTGTCCAAAGCTAATGAACCTCCAGGTTAGTGATAATCTTGTCGCACCCAACATGGAAACTGAGATAACTAGAATGGAGCTCTCTAATCTGTTTGTCACATATAGAACTTTGGTGTACAAAGGATCATTTGTTTTTGCAAGATAGCCATCTTGCAGCAAATAGTCATCACCTAATGGCTGGACCTTTATGTGCTTTACCCAAACATGGACAAACTCTCCTTCGTGGTTCCTGCTCCGCTTCCAAGCTTCTCCTGATGGTGTCGGTGCTCTCTTGTGCATGACTGGCACATCTGGTGTTCGTCTCAAACGTATAGGCACACATGTTAGAAGTATCAAGTAGTATATCATCCATGGGAGAACCAAGTAGACACGCGAAAAGGATAGGGTTCACCTTAGTATATGCGATCCATGTGTCCCTTGGAGATGACCCTAGGGTGCTCCGTACCGCCAAGGTCATATATTAAACAAAAGTCTGACATTACAAGATTTCTTATAAGAATATGAAATTGCAGGAAAGTTATTGAATAAATCAGCACATGTTTCATTTTGCACCCATCGGCGGCACGCCGTGAGCAGAGCTTGTTGTTGCATCTAGGCCTCCATCCTACCAAAACAACCTTGTTGAAACCAAGGAGTTTTTAGAAGTAGTGGTTGGGAATTTGTCGATTGTTGGAGCTAAATCCGGTAGATCCCTTGGTAGGGTATCACATAGCTAGGCAACTTGGCAAGATGGTAACAAAGACAAGGGTTTTATCTAGGTTCAGGCTCTCACGGTGGAGATGATACCCTATGTCCCGCTCTTTGCTTTATTACGTTGAGGTGTATACAAAGTACAAAGTACAAAGTATCGAGAGACTCTAATGTGTCGAATGTGTTCTGTTGACTAGCCTGGCCCCGACTTATATAAGATACTGGGGCCCAAGGATTACGAGAGTCCTAGTCAACTACGTCAGTGAAGGGGAGTCCTCCATGGGTATGGA